TTTCAGAATTTTCATTTTTTAATACAAAAAGTTGGATATTTCAAGCAAAATCCAGTAAGAAAAGAACAAAAACTTTGCAGTAACAAAAGAATAACATTGGGAAACCCACTATGTTATCAGTTTATCAAAGAACAAAAACGCATAAACAAGTAAATTTACAATGTAACCGGTAAAAATATATTGGTTAATTAGCAAATATGTTTACATTATGTATCGACACTCTTTAAATATGTGTCGATACTTTTTTCCCAAAATGAAAGCACAACGAGGTGCAATCATAAAGTGTCTATACATTTAAAATTGTATCAATCCCAAAAACATCAAAACCGATAATTATAATGTAATAGGTAAATTTGCAATGTTACCTGTTTAAATATATTTGTTTAGTTAGAAAATAGGACAATATAAGCGCTATCAATTACATTATATAAGCGCTACCTAATATATTATTGTACTTGATAATATTTCCGGTTAAATGATATAACATAACCTGTCTAAATTTTAACTGATTACTTGTTTAACAGATCACGCCGTTTTTTAACCGTTTTTTAAGCGCCGTACAGCAAAAATTCCCCTATTAGCTTACGGGCACAAATATAGTTCCATTGTTAATAGTGAGAATTTTATTTAGGGTAAAGTATACAAATGGTCCCCGATAATACAATACTATTTTATTAAGTCTTTCGACTATTAAAAATTATAAAATTATCCTTCAACTATAAAATGTTACTTTATTAAGTCCATCGATTATTAAAAGTTACAAATGATCACTAGACTATTAATTATGTTTCAAGTTCGTCATTTTTCGTTAAAAAATTGACGATTGTCTAAGTTGTACGTTAGCATAATGGCTGAGATATGATAGTTGTTTAAGATTCTAAGATCAGATTTTATCATGTCATAGTTATCATGTTAACATCTAGCTCAAAATATTGTCAATCTTTTAACAAAAAGACAATATTTTGTAACATAATGAATAGTCGAGTGACCATTTTATATTTTTTAATAGTTGAGAGACTCAACAAAGCAATACTCTATAGTCAAAAGATCATTTTGTAACTTTTAATAATCGATTCATTTAAAAAAAAATAATACCCTATAGACAGGGTCATTTGTGTACTTATCCCTTTTATTTATTATTATAATTATACATATAAGAGAATTTTATTATAAAAATCGATATTCCTCTGGTGATAAACATGAATCGATTCACTTTAAACTTAAATTATTTGCGTTGTCGAACAGCTAATTGATTAAATTGAGCATGTCGACACGATCCGATTTTTATTCATTGGAACCAATCACTTTCTTCTTTAAAATACCAAATTATTTTCTTTTGAACCGAATATGGACTGGAATTGAGGAGGTAAAAAATAGGGTAAAGTACACAAATGGTTCCCCGATTATAGAATATTACTTTATTAAGTCCCTCAACTCTTAAAAGTTATAAAATAGTCATTTGATTATAGAATGTTGCTTTATTTAGTCCCTCAACTATTGAAAGTTACAAATGATCACCAGACTATTCATTATGTTCCGAACTCATCCTTTTTCATTAAACAATTGTTTAACGACTATCATATCTTATTTTAGTCACCATGTTAACGTTCGACTTAGATAACCACCAATTGTTTAACGAAAAAGGGCGCGTTTGGAACATAATAAACAGTCAGGTGACCATTTTATAACTTTTAATAGTCGATGGACTCAACAAAACAACACTATATAGTCGAATGATCATTTTATAACTTTTGATAGTCGAATACTTAATAAAATAACGTCTTATAGTCGGGGATCATTTGTGTACTTGACTCGAAAAAAAATAAAAGGAAAGAAAACACAGAGAGCTGCAATTACAAGAAAACAATTATGTCAACATTAAATTTATCATGAAATTAAATATAAAATGGATAAGAAATTAAACTATGATTTCTCCACGTGTTTGGATATGTTGTGTTTGTCAACTGTATTTTCTTTACGTTGAAACTTAATTTTCACCTGTTTCCCTTATTTTTAATGCAAGCTAAAACCCATGTGATTAAAATATAAATTATTAAAAACATAATTATTCTTCATTTTTTAATTAAAATATTTTGAAAAAGAAAAGGAAAATATTTGAGGTTATGTAGACAAGTCTACAAATGCACAATATAATTTATAAAAGAACAATTTGAAAAAAAAGAGAGAAAATATTACACGTTTGTTGAATTATGATATATATTTTAAGTTATAAGATGTTTTATTGTGTTTTAGAAATAAAACATTTTGATCCAAATTTAAATATGAATATATATATATATATGGCATCAAAATCTTGAATTTGATGGGTTAAAGGGTAAGTTATGAATTTAGTATCTAAACTATCAGTTTTGATCCGTTTTAGTATCTAAACTTTCATTTTTTTCTTCAAAATCATACATAATGTTTAGTTTTTGTTTTATTTTAGTACATCACTTTTAAAAACTTAACGCGTTTAACACCTAAACAATCAGTTTTTGTCATTTTTAGTGCCTAAACTTTTAATTTTTTTAAACTTAATGTTAAATTTTGAACCGGGGCACTAAAATGAAAGAAAATAAACTTTAGGTATATTTTGAAAAAAATTAAAGGTTTAGATACTTTAACGGCCCAAAACTGATAGTTTAGGTACTAAACGCATACTTTACCCAACATAAATTTTCTAAATTTTAGTGACATTACATTTTTTTTTTTGAACAATGGCAACTGAATTTCGTTAATAAAATGGAGGAATCAAAATTACAACGCATCCAAAGAGAGAATTGGAGACAATAGTCACAGAAAACTCAAACATAAAATAAAAATATTAAACTCAAAGATACGAAGATATTGAAACTGTCCAAACATCAAAACAAATCAGTAACCTTCATAAAACTCCTTGTCTATGTTGAATGAGACACTTTACGATGTGATAAAAAGAGTGGTGAGTGAACAAAATAATTTGGCAGACTGTTATGTTATACAATTCTAATTATATCGACAAACGACCATTTACAAAAGAGGAGATCTGATAATACTTGACCATCGACAAGCCAATCAGAAAATAAATGTCGTGAGGATCTTTGTGCAAGCACCAACACGACCGTAGAAATATGTGAAAAACTTATCGAAAACCATAAGGAACGTGCCACAAGAGCATAAAAAAACGTGTCATAATAACAAAAATTCTTATCTAAAAGTGAAAAAACTCAAGAAAAAAAAACAAAGACAAAACGAAAAAGAACAAGAAAAATAATAATCCACCGATAATCAACAACCAATATTAAGATTAGTGCACGACTTATCTTAAAAAAGATAAGAAGACGACTAAACAAAAAACAAAAAAAGATAAAAAGACGACATAAGAAAATTGAGAGAAAAAAATTATGTTAAAAAAGACAGCTTATACCATGGAACTTGGTTAAATCATTCATGTTAAGCAATGACTTATGTATGCTTTTATATTTTATATCAACGATGCATATTTAGAAAGTTATATTAGAATAGAGGGTATAAAATTTCAGGAATGTAAAATTAAATTATCAGTAAAAATATAAAAATATTTAAATTATATCTTATTTATAAATTGGGTATAAATATTTAAACTTTGATCTACATATTTCAAATATGCTACTTGCTTCATGTTAGATTTGAGCTACAATTTAATAACCAAGATGATGACTAATTTAACAGAAAAACTTGATTAATATGATTTGACATTCGATTAAAATACTTCAAAATTTTGGACGAATTTAAAATATAAATTGTAGTTTGAGAGGTTATGATGCAATTATCCCTATTAAAAATAGCATCACGTGGAAAGAAAATGACATGGTGTACATCTCACTGACGATCAAATCGCGTGTAATGAACGCTCCAATCAAAAGCCATTTCCATCCGCCCATTTGACTTGTTCAACGGCTGAGATATCCATTGTTCTTTTGTCTGGACAAAAATATTAGACTTAAAAAATATCATTTATAATACTTATTTTTTAGGCTAAAGTATACAAATGTTCCCCGACTATAATAGACTATTTTATTACGTTTCGTTTCTTAACTATTAAAAGTTATAAAATGATCCTCAACTATAGGGAGTTATTTTGTTGAGTCCCTCAACTATTAAAAATTACAAATAGTCACTAAATTATTCATTATGTTTCAAACCCATCATTTTCCATTAAAAATGTAAGGATCATCTGAGCTTAACGTTAATATGTTGACTGATATATGATATTCATTTGAGATTATGAGATCAAATTTTATCATATTTCAGTCAGTATGTTAGCGTAAAACTCAGATGATCGTTATTTTTAATGGAAAATGACAAGTTTGAAAAATAATGAATAATCATGTGACCATTTTGTAACTTTTAATTGTCGAATGACTCAACAAAGCAACTTCCTATAGTCGGGGGACCATTTAGTATCTTTAATAGTCAAGAAACTCAATAAAGTAGCATCCTATAATCGGGAGACCATTTGTGTACTTCACCTTTTTTTTTATTAATCTAAGATAATTACGAGTATAATATCTGCTCTAAAAACTCAACTATTTGACGATAAATATTCAAATATTCTACGTTTAAAATATATTATATATATTTTAAAAATATATTAAATAGTTAATATATAGAAGATTAAAAGTTAAAGAAATTACAGAAAAATTATATATAATAGAAAATAGAAAATAGAATAATTATTTTTAAAGTAATAATAATATGCATGAAGCGAAAACTAATTTAGATTAACTATTTATTAATTATTCAAAATAAATGTTAGGGGCTAAAATGCTAAAAAAAGATAGGGGAAAGTAATCATTAATGCAAATATCGGGTAATTTTGTTACTATGCCTTTAAAAATTTAGATGACTAAAATGAAACCATTCAAATAATTGAGTGACTAAATAAACACTTTACCCTTTAAAATATTTCACTGGATCCTGTCTATAAACAACGTATTGACGTGACTAACAAGCGCCGCCGATGAAAGTAGAAGCAAAAAGAAACTCAGCTGCCGAAGAAGAGTATAAATGAAAGAGGCTTTGACTAAAGATGAAGTCATTTTCATTCCATCGATCGATCTCATCATCTTCATCAATGAATCATCAATAAACATCTTCCCTTTCCCTTTTCACCTAAAAGAATCCGAAACCCAGAAATCTTCAATCCAACACAGGAAAACAGAAGAAAAATCGATGAAGATCGTTGCTTTACAGGTTTCGTTTATCGTTTTCCTTTCAACCCTTTCCTTTACAGCTGCTTCATGTCCGATGGATCTCAATTACGTGACGAGAATCCCATGGAACTCATCCGTTTGCCGTAATTTCCGCCCATCTAACTTCACACCCAGAGCCGAAATCTTTAGGCAAAACTGCTGCGTGGCTCTATTATCTGTCTTCGGCATTGGACTCGCCGAGCATCTCAAAGAAACGACCCTTTTCCAGCTCCCGGATTTTCCCTCTTCCGTCGCCTGTCTCCGGGATTTCCAGGCGAAGCTCGACGCTCTTTCTCTCCCGAACGACGTCGCTTCCCTTTGTTTCGACCCGATGCAGTTCGTGATCACGCCCAATCTTTGCGCCAAAATACAAACGATTCCAGATTGGGTCGCTAAGTTAGGCGAATCCACGGCTCTCGATCAAGGTTGCAGGGCCGATCTCAGTGATCTAACGGCTTGTGACACTTGCCTCCGTGCCGGGAACGAGGTTCATTCCAGGTTGCTCTCGATCGACGGTAATAGTTCTCACGGCACCGATTGTTTCGATTTTATTGTTCTTTATGCTGCTGGTATTGTTAATGAATTTGGACCTGAAAGTAATGGCGTTGTTAGGTGTGCATTTGCTTTAACTTTGAATGAAAAATCTGGTTCGAATAATCGACATTCGGCTCTTGTTTTTGGTCTAACTGGTGCTGCTGTTGCTGTTCTTGTTACCTCTAGTTTGCTGGGTTTTTACTTTTGGTATGAAAAACGATTTAGGAAGAACAAAAATGGTGGCTCTGGTTCGAATTTTGATTATCCAGAGGAGCAAGGGTCTAGGCCTAGATTAAGGCCTAATACAGGTTCAATTTGGTTCAAACTCCGCGATCTCGAGAAGTCTACGGATAACTTTTCGACAAAGAATTTCATTGGTAGAGGAGGTTTCGGTTTCGTTTTCAAAGGGGTTTTACCGGATGGGACGGTGGTCGCCGTTAAGAGGATATTGGAATCGGAGTTTCAAGGTGACGAGGAGTTCTGTAACGAGGTCGAGATTATCAGCAACTTGAAGCATAGGAATCTTGTGCCTCTTAGAGGGTGTTGTATGATCGATGATGATGAGATTGGAGTCGATGATCATGAGAAAGGGAGTCAGAGATACCTCGTGTATGATTATATGCCGAATGGGAACCTCGACGACCATTTGTTCCCGTCGAAAACGGGGAGTAAACCGTTGAGTTGGCCTCAGAGGAAGAACATAATCTTGGATGTGGCCAAGGGGTTGGCTTATTTGCACTATGGAGTGAAGCCTGCTATATATCATAGAGATATTAAGGCTACGAATATATTGCTCGATGCTGATATGAGAGCGCGAGTGTCGGATTTCGGGTTGGCAAAGCAGAGTAGGGAAGGGCAGTCTCACCTCACTACTAGAGTGGCTGGGACTCATGGATACTTGGCCCCTGAATATGCCCTTTACGGTCAGCTAACCGAGAAGAGCGACGTTTACAGTTTCGGTGTCGTTGTTTTGGAGATAATGTGCGGGAGAAAAGCTCTTGATTTGTCTTCATCGAGCTCCCCACGAGCATTTTTGATAACCGATTGGGCTTGGTCGTTGATTAAGGCCGGAAAAGTCGACGAGGCTTTGGATCGTTCGTTGATCGATAGTGAGGATTCTGTGAATTCGAATCCAAAGGCTATAATGGAGAGGTTTCTGCAGGTTGGGATTTTGTGTGCTCATGTAATGGTTGCTTTAAGGCCTACCATTTTGGATGCACTGAAAATGTTGGAAGGTGATATTGAAGTCCCCCCGATTCCTGATCGACCGATGTCTCTCGCCCACCCTTTGATTTACAGCGACGGCAATGCTTTCAGCATCTCACCCCCATTAAGCGGACCGCAACTGCAGAAGGGAGACATGCTCAGGTAATCTGAAATGTTTTAGAACTCCCAAACTCATGAAGTATTAGACTGGATGATCGACATACGATCATCCATGAAGCAAGCATCAACCTCATTTAGCTGCCAAAGAAGATCGGGACGGTGAGAAAGTCCGGAAATCGATCAGTCAGCTGAAGATTTCTGGCTCTTTACGTCGAACATTCTACATGATCATGAAAACCCAAAGTTGCAACTACGATATTTAATTCATTTTCGATACGCATACTGAATCTATGCCACTTCTTTCTCCAAAACCTGGAGAGCATGGTCTTGAACTACCGTTCATGGAGTGGCAAGCTTGACCGCTACGTTCTCTGCAGGTTATCCGAGAGCGATATCGTAGATATCACGCAAAGATTTCAAGCAGCAACCCTCTAATGCTGTTGATAAGTTTTAACTTCGATTTTGTAGTGGGATAGTCAATATCAGACATAAATCGTTTCTGTTTTGATACTTGTACACACCAATACAGATTTGTTTTGGTATATTATTTTGGGCTAATCCATAAAATATTATTCATATATCAAATCGAAACCCTAAATGAGAACAAAACTCTATATTGTATGTCCATGAGATTTAAACCCGAGACCTTATTTAAGGGCCGTCTAACTCTTTATCGTTGGATCCAACAAATTTGCAAATCGATCTGCATTGATTGAGATTAGAGGTGTAAATAAACATAGCGTTCGGTGAACCGTTTATATAATGTTTGTTTATGTAATTGTAAAATACGTAAAGTTCCGGGGGTATTTACCTGAACAAATTAACTATATTCGGAACTAGACCAATTGAACATGCATGGATATGAATATTCATTTGATATTCATAGTCAAATGGTTGAACATGCACGGAGAGAACAATCGCAACGCTGCGTCTAACATGTCGAGATTACGTAATTCACTGTCGAAGCCTCGTTTGAAAGCAGCCCAAGTTTTAATAAAGGCCGACGCCGTCGTCGCCTCTACGAGCTTGTGGGAGTCACATAAGGCGATGGCGATCCCGCCGAACCCGAAGACAGTGACTTGAATAGCCACTTGGGGCGATGTTGAAGTCGGGACACTGCAAAAGCATTGGCACGTGAGCAACCAGTTCAACAACTCTATCTCCGCCGACGCCATGAAATCCGATAACCGAGCATCGTCCCTGGCTTCGACATACGGCATGCCTTTGTCGTAGAAACCGACAGAGGTTGTCGATCGTCCGACCGTACGAAGGGTAAAACTGATTCATGGTTCTCGTATCCCTTTAACGTGGCCAGGATTCTTGCAGCGTTGCCGAACCAGGAATCATCGAGTTTGTTGTAAAACAAGATGAATGGTACATAATGTGCCGGCATGATGAATTGATCGAACAATGACAATGAGAATGGCTTCCGGCTATAAACTTCCGGCGAAGATGGCTTAACCATTTCCTTTGAAACACTTTATTTATAGACTCGAAGATCAAAGATTAAAGCATCATATGGAATCACTGAAGTGATTAACCCAAAAATTTTCTTTTACAACAACATTTCATTCATCAATAAAATACAATTAGTTTATAACATAAATCAAATCAAGTTTACAAAACGGAGAGCTCCCAAATACGTCCCAAAATAACATTATATTGTCTGTATCCAATTAGAGTTGACTCAATAAACAAGAGTCTATGAATAATAAATACCCTCTAAAAAGACTCAATACATATTCTGATGCCTCGATAAATTTGGATTCAAGGACCGGCGATAAACTCCTCAAGAGATCTCCTAAGAATCTACACATGAAAACAAATTCCAAACATTGAGCTCACAAGTTCAGCGCCACACAAATAACTATACTATATTACGTGCATTCACTATATGAGCATGCTAGCAAGCAGAGGCATAAGCATATAAAAACACTAGCATATAAAGTTAAGGTAGGCATCATGGTGTGGTTGAAGGGTTTTGTATCTCGAAATGCACACCTCTCTAGTCTACCTATGATACCCTTGGGTATCCGGGGTGAGATTCGGAACTGCATCGGAAACGTACACTTGGTCAGTTTTTTCCTTAAGAGTACTTAGACATATACGCCTAGCCAACAACTGAAGTGTCTTGGCACTAGCTGAGATATATCTGGATATTTCTAACAAGCAAGAAAATCATCATAACTGTTAAAATAACTTTGTTGTCCTTACTGTTTCCCCGAGCATCACACAATGACTAATTTTATGACATCTTATTTCATAAGTTTTCTTATGCTTTTTGTTGTATTTATTAACTATTCTCACTTGGAAATTTATTTGAGAATATTTTTGCTCCTACACCCTTTCTCAAATCCCTCTCTCAAGGTTAGGCTTCTTGCCCAAAACTGTGTGATAGTACCGATACTAATCCTTTTAGTATCGATATTGACCCTGCATTATCGATACCCAACCTTAGTATTGATACCAAATTTGTCTACTAAAATCGGGGTAGCCTTTTAGTATCCATATCCCTATTTAGAGTATCGATACTTCCTCTTTTGAATAGTATCGATACTCCCTAAGTACCTTAAGCAAATGATATTTACACCGACAATCAGTTAGTTTAGTGGGATGAGACACCTAGTCTCTTAAGCAAATGTCAGGGTTTGGATTCTTGACGTTTATGAATGGAACAAACTGGGTTGAGAGGGTCGTTTTTATCTCTATAATACCTGATCCGGAAGAGTGGATTAATAAATCGAAAACAAGTGGTTATATCAAAAAAAGATAAAATGATATTTACGTAGCAAACCTAATTAAAGCAAATAAAAATCACTCAAAATTTCAATAAAATTCATAAATTTATATAAATATCGTAGACTAAATATAATTATACTATTTTTTAACAGTCGTGTTAGCTTCTTTGTTAAATTTTAACGGTTGGTGACTTGATTATAACACTTAAATAGTTAAGTGGTTTAACAGATGAAACTAAAAATCCAATGATCAAAGTTAAAAAAAAAAGTACTAATTAAATTGTCATAGATATAATTTACCCTAAATATTATTCATTTAACTAAACGAATTTAATCATTTAACTAAACGAATTTAAAATGATAAATATTCACTCAAAATTAAATATAATATTAAATTTCACCAAATAAAAGAATTAAATATTTAATTATAAAAATTGAATATTATTATATATATAAATACTAACATTAGGTACTAAAAATCATATTAAGCCTAAAATTAGACACTGAAAAGGGTTTCCCCCCCTAAAGTTTTCACGTCACACTCTCAGCTTTCTTCTTCACACATTCCCGCCGCCAAATAAACTAGTAATCTTCAACCCCTCTCTTGCCCTAGGGTTTCCGGAGGAAATTAAACGAGGTGATTTTTGAAACCCTAAGCTTTACTTGTTAATTGATTTCTCCCTCTGCATCACTCTGTTTACTTGTTAATTGATTTTTCAAAAGCAATCGGTTTAGCTGTTTTCGGTTACGCTGCTACTTGCGGCCGCGATTCGCTGCCGTTGATGTAAAATTTGATCGCATCGCTGTTGAGGTCTTGCAGCAATGGCGGATGGCGCCGCTTCCTCGAAATAGCAGCCGCGATGCTGTTATGCTGGAGCTATATGAAACACCTAGAACTGCTTTATTATCTATATATACAGGGATTATATCCTATGATGCTCATTAGTTTTACACGAAAATATAATCGACTCTAAATGGATGACTGAGATTAGAATTTAGTGTTTCTTTTTCAAATTTCAACGAAAAATGGTTAATTTTGTTTTAGCCTCATCAAGCCATTCATTTAAATTCATATATGGCTATATTTTCAGTTAAAACTAATTAGATTTACACAATGTAATCAGATCCTACCAGTCGATATATATATATTGACTGTTAGTGGATGGCTGTTGTTGAGTTGTAAATGTTAAATATGGGTGTATCAGAAGCTTAAGAAGGAAAGAGTTAGAAATGAGCTTATCTATTGCCAAGTTGGGATAGCTGTATAGAGCATAAATAGGAGAAAACCATTTACGGTGCTTTGATTTGCAAGGAAACCAGAACAAGTGATGCAATTGTAGAATGGTGGAATGAATTGATATTTGTACATTGATTGAATTATGCATGTGACTTGATGTAATTTTTTCGAGTATGCGTGTCTCAACACCAAAAATATCGGGATTACATATGAATGATGATAGAATTTAACAATAAGAGTGAGTGAAGGTGTTAACGGTATTTCATTAATCTTTTTAAAATCTTAGTTACCATTGGGAGTGATTGTGAATCTTAAATGAGGTGGAGAACGAAAACAGCTTAAGTTGTTAGGTGAAGACCATAGGGGATACTTGTGAAATTTATCATTATATTGATTATCTTATCCATTTGCTGGAGTAAAAATTATTGATTACTTGTAATGGTTAAAGCTTTGATTGCATATACAGAATTTTCCAAAGTAGATGTTCCAGTTTGAAATATGAATTATGGAATCAGTTTAACATGTCATGGTTCTCTTTAAACCTGTTATTACTTATTCCATTATGTTGATGTCGGTTAAATGTACTCTTTAAGGTTGTGTTCAGTGTAGTGAGGAAGAAGAAATGAGTGCTTTCAATAAGTTCAAAGCTAGTGTTCCCGTTGCATGGAGTCCGAACCTCTATATAACCCTTGTGAGGGGAATTCCCGGCACCAGAAGGCTTCATAGGCGCACTCTGGAAGCACTACGCCTAGGCAAATGTAACCGCACTGTCATGAGGTGGAACACCCCCACTGTCCGGGGAATGCTTCAGCAGGTATAAAACCCCTAATCTGAGTTTTGTTCTTCCATTGGTTTTTTTTCCTTTCCCATTTTTTTTATTGAGGTGTTTTATGTCCAGGTGAAGAGGTTGGTTGTGGTTGAGACGGAAGAAATGTTTAAGGCACGTAAAGCAAATGAAGCCGAACACCGAGCACTACGCCCCCCTATTGTCATTAGTCATCTTCCAGCTTCTGCAACCAACTCCTCTAAGCAGCCTTAGAAGGTCTCTAACAGTTAGCAGGTGAAGTCAAGTAACTTCGTGTTAAGATCTAGCTGAGATTCGAATTATGGAAATTTGAGGTCGAAACGCACGTTTACCGTGCTTCTTAAGGTTTATTTAAGTGTTTTCAACATGTTTGAAGGAAATAATCAAGTATAAAATGGTGAAACTTGAAATATTAATGTATTGAACCTTTTGTTCTCCACACATGCAAGTGCTTTAACTGGTAGTTATGTATTGTCCTTATGGTATATGGAGTCTTCCATCAGCATCAAATCAGTTAGGCTCATTCATGTTTATAATCTGTTTTAGTTCTTTCTGATATATCTTCTGTCGTCTCTCTTGTTTCCTCTCCTTCTATGCTCATCAACTCCGGCCACCGGCCATTTGTCACCTCCGGCCTCCATGGCCCCTTTCTCACATTAGTTAAAGAATGTGACAAAACAAATTGAATGATCTTGTTCGAGTGAAGATAGATATACTAAGGTGCTATAGTCCTACTCTGAAGTTGGAGTTGTAGGGGTGTTCAATCGGTCAGTTTGGTTAATTGACCACCTAACTTTAAAAAATTCATCAATTGAATTTTTTCTGCTTTAACCGTTAGTTAAAACGAATTTTTTTTGAAAATAATTAATTGAACTGAATAAAGTTCAATTAATCGGTCGATTAATCGAAATTCATAAATAATGTATATTATATATTATGATATTTATATTTTCAGTTAATTCGGTTAAAATTAGAATTTATACACTCTTAAGACCAAGTATTATATAAACAACATATATAATATATTAAATATTTAATGAATTCAATCGGTTAAAATCGGAATTCAAAACTCTTTTAAGATTAAGTAATATATAAATAATATATATAATATATTAAATACTTAATAATTTCAATTAATTTGATTAACCAATCAATTTTGAACTGAATTAATCGATAATCAAAATTTGAAAAAAATATTAACCATTAACCGATCGAATCTAAAATTAATTGACCAATTAACCGGTTAAATCAGTTTAAATCGAAGTTTGAACATCAAAAATGTTGAGGGGTGGTGTTCCGGTGCCGCTCCCGGTGGAAATTTTAGGCCTATTGGATCAGCTGGTATAACAATAGTCATTAACTTCGATATTAAAAATGAGTTTAAATTTGATGCAAAGCATATTTAAATCAAGTAAATTAAATATAAACAAGTATATATTGGCCCCTCATGTGCATAATTTGACTTACCCATTTAAAATGAAAGGTAAAGTACACATTCAATACTTAAACTATTAATTTTAGTTCATTTCAATATCTAAACTTTTAACTTTTTTAAAATCAGACCTAACATTCAATTATTACCCACCATGAAAAACTTAATATATTTAATACCTACACTATCAATTTTAATCCATTTTAGTACCTAAACTTTCAGTTTTTTCAAAACTTAAAGTTAAATTTTTAATGGAGTAATAAAATAAAACAAAATCTAACGTTCGGTATGGTATTGAAAAAATTTAAAGTTCAAGTATTAAAGTATACCAAAATAATAGTTTATGTATTAAACGCGTAATTTACCCAGGAATAAAATATAATTCTTCTCAGATTCGAACAAGAAAATCGTTGGCTAAACTTTGAACTTAGTTCATACATTAAGAAATTGAGTATTACAAAGGCAGGCAACTAACTTCCTTCTCAAGAAAATATATCTCATACCTGAGCCAGTTTCATTTTTAGGTCATCTCAGCAATGAAAACAATACATATATGTGAATAAATATACAGAAAAGATGAAACTAATGCCAAATAAAATGATATTCATATAGGTTCGAGTCGCTGCTACGCCTTCGTTAAGGAGTAGAGAAGGCTAGCTTTTACTAGTAGCACTGCTCGATGCTCGCGATCCATGAAAATAGGTATTGTACTTGTTAGAAAAAGCTTCTGAATTCTCACCGGTGAAAGTTGATGGAACGGCGATTAGGGACATAAAAACTTGGGAAAACACGAGACATATACCTTAAAAAGTGAACATTATTGACACATGAAATTCCTAGCTAGTCAAGTGTCGGATCGATTATGCATGCCTGCGCCTTTTAGTATTGTCGTCGGTGAAAAACTGCCAATTACTATGATCGAGAGCACTCAAGTCATCAAGATCTGCAATGGCTAGCAGGTATTGGGTGAGTTTTACAAGCTCCTGATCAGTGTCTCGGTTGGCATGAGCTTTCCGGAATGGCTTAATCGTCAAACCGTTCTGGGGGTTCATCACGAAATTTCTTCGTAGATCATCAAACATTATAGTGTTCTTTGAGCTGTAAAACTGAAAATATGTAAATGGACCAAATGTCAGTCTAACCAGGCAATGAATTCATTGATTTCTGATTCAAACACAACGACCTATTGAAGCAAGCAAAACCACAGCAAATTCGATTTTAACATGTACCTCGGGAAACTGTGCCCAAATTAAACCAAGTGGTTTGCAATCAAAGATTCCACGAGTATCTGATTGAACAGTGATCATCGCTAAATGATCTAGAAGGGCTGTGATTTTGTAGTTCGGGTTGTTTAATACTCCAAGTTGTCCCATCTTCAATTCAACCCATTTCATGCTGGAGAGAGGAAATATAAGCTTTAGAAATCCGGTTTATAAGAACACAAAATTTAACTCATGCATCTCTATGTTTCAAAAATCCGTCATTTTCTTGAAATGAGTCCAACGTCCATATCCGTGTTGGAAACGGGAACACAACTCTCAAAACTTGAAAAAACTTTGAAAAATATGATGAGAATCCTACATCGTTAAAGCTTGAGTTATGATTACTTTTAGGCTGATATGTGACGACTCTACTAAAATTAAGTTGCTGCTAAGATATATTTCTTTGATAAAAGTTAACATCTTAGGTCGAAAGGAAATAAAAATTGTTTATAAAAACCACCTGGTTGCAGACCAAATCATGATATCGTACTCCGCATATGCAGCCGTAAGAAACTCGTGAAGATCTGCAAAAATGATATTTTCACCATTAGCTCCTATTGAAATACACCACAAATAATTTAAATAAAAGGACAATAAACTTACAAGGCCGCATGAGTTGAAGTGGATTCTCAGCTGTTGACCGATGATCAAATAAAGTATAATCTATATCCAAAACAAGCAGTTTCTTTCCTTTACGGCACGGAGTTTTTAGTTCGATCTAGATGTAAAACATGACAAGAAAATCTCATCAACAAATCGTATACAAGGAGTGCTTAAAAAGGGCATAACTCGGCCTTGAATAAAACAAAGGCGCCAGTTGATGATAAGAGGGTTATACTAAACCCTTTGCACGATCAAATCTAAGAATGTCCAATACTTTACTAATTCACCGAAGCAAATTCAGATATCGATCTTTCACAATAAGAGCTCAAACATTTTTTCCACCAAAACAACATACGTATTACATGAAAGCTGAAAATGTAAAGAAATTTCCAGACAAGATACTTCATTGCAAGTCCACTAAACATCGACTTTAAAGCACTCGGGATCGAATATCGATGACCAGGGAACAAGCAAACCATACATGCATGAAAAAGAGAGTCTGACCTTATATTGATCAATGCGTCTCTTCAGTTTCTGCTTGTTAACCTCTTTATCTTTGATATCAACAGCTTCATCTTGCCCAATTTCGAAGTCATCGACGACCTCGGGAGTCTCCATCGGATCGACGATTATATCATCTTCGACAGTTCTAGATATTCATAAAAACAATACTTTAACCAATCTCTACACTATAAACAGAGCCACATTCATCAAAACTTCAAAGCAAAGATTAATGATTTTTCTTTTTACAATAACATGTTCATAAAACAATTGCAATTCCCATAAATGCATACAAAATTCAACAAAAAGAACCCAAATTTCGTAACAAAAAATAATCCAAATTCAACAAGCTTGATGATTAGAGAGTACCCAATCATGGTCATCTTGAGAGAGGACTTGAGGGGAATCTGAGAGAGCAAAAGTGAGTCGTCGGCGAGTTTGTTTCCGATCTTAGGGTACAGAAGCTTCTGTCTTTTGGGCAAAACGTTCGTCACTTGGCAGATTCTTCGTTTCAACTCGGCCACCGAGTCATCGCAGCAGACTCGAACCGTGTACTCTTTCCCGCTCCATTTTACTGTCAGCGTCAGCTCCTCCTCCGTCAGTGATGAAGATGCAGCGGCGGCGGCCATTTCTTTTCCCTTCAGACAGTGAACCAAAAACTCCAAAAGAATCTCGGTGGAAAATGAATGAAGGTGCCCTCCATATAAGAAACCCAAACACAATTTGATAAAGGAAACAAAATGGGTCATGGATCAATTCAATTCTTTGGATCACCATAGATCTTATTTGAGCCATGCTTCAGTTTCTAGCTTTTTTAAGTTACTTTTCCTTTTTTCAGTGGCCCATAACTTTAAGTAGGATGGGCACAGGACCTGAATCTGATGGATTCTAAGTATATCCGATCTTATAGGGTTATATTTTTTTAAACAAAAGTTTGAGTCGGGTTAGGTCGCTTTTTTGGAGATTATGTTTGAGTTTAGGTTCGAGTCTAGGGTAAAAAATATCTGATCCGACCCGACCCAGAAAATATATAGTTTACCTTATATATTTTAGGATAATTGCAATATGACCTTTTTATATATTAGTTTTCAATTAAATCCATTTTTTTATTGAAAATAATAATATTTTTTATAAATATATTATTTCAGTGGATCGGATCGAGTTCGGATCAGATGAAGGGTGTATTATTTTCAGGTCGAGTTCGAGTCAGATGGAGGATGTATAATTTTCGGGTCTGGTTGACCGAAACCCGACCCATGCCCATCCTTAAATTTAAGTGACCCTAAAATATTTGTTTGGGTTTAACTATTATTATAGTCACTCTATTACTATATGGTTGAATATTTAATCCTTCTACTTTATTTTTAACATAATATACTCCTTTATGTTATCAGAAGGTTTAATCTGATAACACCATTAGTTGTTACTATTAAAGTGACGGTGTAAATTAAAAAATATATATATATACATAATTTTAAACATATGGTTGATATGTAAATTAATTATTAATGGAACATGGATGATTATATCTTCTCAAGGTCTTGATTGTATAACCAGATAATAGTAAAAAAATCATGTTATTTTTGTAATTTTGATTTATTAATTGATTAATCCAAATCGATTATTGTACTTAATCAACGGTCCTCCGACTATAGAGTATTGTTTTATTGAGTCATTCGACTATTAAAAGTTACAAAATGATCGTCTGACTATTTATTATGTTCCAAACTCGTCATTTTTTGTTAAAAATTGACGACAGTCTGAGTTGAACGTCAACATATTGACTGCGATATGATAAAATTTGATCACATAATCTCAAACGATTATCATATCTCAGTCATTATGCTAATGTCCAACTTAGACGAGAGTTAATTTTTTAATAGACAATGATGAGTTTATAAAATAATGAATAGTATGATGATCATTTTGTAACTTTTAATAGTCGAGGGACTCGACAAAGTAATACTCTATAGTCAAAGGACTATTTTGTAACTTTTAATAGTTAAGGGAGTTAATAAAATAATACCCTATAGTCAGGGGACTATTTATGTACTTTACCCTATAAAAAAATAAAATTTCTAAAATTACAAACAACCCACTATCCCTAAGCCATCACTAACTTGAATTAATTATTGGTAACTTTATGGGCGGTTCGCTTATGATTGGATTCTGTCGTAATCTAATGTTTTCTTTTGGCCAAACATAATTGTCGTACGATTGTTGTCCGACCGTACCATTCAATAAATAAAGTTACACCAAAATTATGATTAAATGATTATTGAAATCATTGAATTTTCAAAATTTATAAAATAATCATTATTTTTTAAAATTATTTTCAAGAAATCAATAAATTTCATCGAACTTTTATCATTATTATAAACTTGCAATGCCTATTTTATAAAAGTTGATAAATTTAATGACAACTTTATAATTATTGAAAGTCCAGTGACCAAAATGAGCATTTGAGTATAATTTAATGACCTTTAATATATTTCACCCATAAATAAATTCATAATAAACCCCAATACTTCCTTGTATTTATGAAATTGGTCTAATAGGCAGGCAGATAAAAAAATTAATTCACTAGGTCATCTTTAAAATTAATTTGGGATATACGACAAATGCTACAGTACATGGAAAATTCGTCACGCTCTCATGAAGAGTTTACCCAAATAATATTTTTTATTCAAACTCGTCACATCAACGTGACGATTAGAATTTTGTCAAGCCGAAGTGACAAGTTTTGATAAAAATATATTTTATTGAAACTAATCACATCGACATGACGAGTTCCAAGCCATTATAACAAAATGCCCTAGATCCCAAATTAATTTTGGAGATGGTCTAATGAGTTAATTTTTTTTACCTGACTGGCCTATCGGGTTAATTTTACACGTATTTACCCCAGATCAGTGGCGGATACAAAGCATACTCAGGGTGGGCACGCGCCCACCCTGAAATTTTATTTGTGTCCCTCATACGAAAAATTTCAATAATTGATATGTGTGTGTCCACCCTAAAAAATATTTTTAGATCCATCACTCCCCAGATGTCAGGTTATTGTCAAATGGTTAAGGGACCTCGGTGGTTAAGAGACTCATTGTTATCTCTTGAGGTCCCGGGTTTAAGCACCGTAAATGTCAGGGATATGAACGTTTATTGATAAATGATTGAGAATATTTTAACATATATTGTCTTATATTTACTCATATGTATATAATAATAAACCCAACCTCTTTGTCAAAGAGTTAGGGTCAACTGTGGGGTTAATCTACTTAGTCACGTATGCATGGCAAGAGGTTAGACTCACCAAACATACGAATGATATGACGTCATGAAACCATGTCGTTTTCTTCAAGAGAAAACCTAATAAATTATATTGAATTACATGTTTAAATCCGAAACTATAATCAAACATAGAAAAAAATAAATTATCCAAATCCATAAAGTGTCATTAAACTTGAAATTTCGAGAGAGACAAAAATCCATCTTATATAACTTGCTCTCAAATTTTTATGGAAATTAAACTAAAATAAAAACTAAACGTTAGACATAATTTTAAAAAATTTAAAAATTTAGATATTAAAATGGACAAAAATTAATAGTTGATCAATAAAGAATTGAAGTTCAAACATCTATCTATCAACCAACTAAAAGCCAGCTATCAAGCAATATGAACCCTAAATTATCAACTTTTGTTTGAAGCTTCTTAAGAATTTAACCTTGTATATGATATGATCGTGACTGATCAGAAAAGCATGCACACATTAATTTCCCAGAACTTTTGGATGATTGAATCTATAAAATGGAAACGAAATTCAACCAACACATTGGGGGTCGATCACTAGCCTTTTAGTCACATGGAGTCGAGTCGGAGTGGACCGGTGAAGGAGCTTTGCTCGAAGATATTAACACGCACTGATATCGGCGTCCGTCTCTCGTTCCCAACAGCCTCGATGAGGGAGCATTTCTGACTCGAGGGAGGGACGCAGTCGTTGGATTTTCAGGTGAGGGACAGGTACAATAAGGTTTGGACGTTCCGACTCTATACTAGGAAGAACGACGGTCACCCGAAGCCAGTTCTCACTACAGGGTGGCTCGATTTTGTGAAGAAAATGGGTCTAAAAGTGGGGGATAAGGTGATTTTCCTCGTGCATGGGAGCTTCGACCAGCTCAGGATTCAAGTGCAGAGAAGCATAAGGTTACTCGGTCGCGAGCATTGGGCTGATTTGTAAGTAGGGATGTGCCTACGGAAGACTGACAAAGATAGTCAGCCAAACATAAAATTCTATGTCTTTCTCTATACTAGACTTGATTCCACAATATGATAAACACTCTAGTGCAAGAAAATGGTATTGTTTACATGCATAATTGGCTCGTATTTACTTCAGTACTTTCATACACGAGTCTGTATCAATAGATAGATAAATAGATATGTTTCTTTACAAATTTTTACTGAATTCTAAGCCTTCCAAGTTTAAGTTTGTCATATAGGGTGTGTTTTTATCAAGTTGTTGTAGAACATGATGTATTTTTGGTATTGTAGTTTAAAACTGTATATATATCTAGTTTCAAGCTTTCACGCATGATTAACCAATTAATCGTTCTTCGATTAACTCCATCCTTTTTTGGTGTTTGAGTAAGGTTTTGATAGATGTTATATGAATTGTTGCGAATTATGAAAGATAATTGCAAGCAATTGATCGCAAGTCAAAAGAAAAAAATAAAAGCGTAAACTACACATTTAGTACATAAACTATCAATTTTGGTTTGTTTTCATACCTAAACTTTAAATTTTTTAAAATCATACCTAACGGTTAGTTTTTATTTCATTTTAGTACCTCGCCGCAGTTGCAGAGCCACAACTTGGTGAGGGTGGGCATGTGGCCACCCTGAAATATAAATTTTTTTCTATTAGTTACTTATTTTACTGATGGTGCCCACCTGAAATTTTCTGTGCCACTCTGAAATATGAGTTTTCTTCGATTAGTTACTTATGTTATGAACGATGTCCACCTTGAAATTTTATTTGTATCCATCCCATCTAAAATTTTACATTGTTAACGTATGTGTGCCCACCCTGAAAAATATTTCTAAATCTGCCACTGCCTCGCCGTTCAAAACTTAACGCGTTCAGTACCTAAACTTTCAACTTTTTAAAAACTTAACATTAAATTTTGAACGGTGTATTAAAATGAAACAAAAACTAAAGTTTTTAATGAGGGGTACTAAAATGAAAAAAAAAACTAAACTTTGGTATGATTTTAAAAAATATTTAAGTACTATAATGGATCAAAACTGATAATTTAAGTATTAAACACGTGATTTTCCCGAAAGAATATATATATATATATATATATATATATATATATATATATATATATATATATATATATATATATATATATATATATATATATATATATATATATATGTTTACGTGAAAAATCTTTGACTAAAAAAAGAGAGAAAATCCATCATAAGTGATAAACCCTGTAAAATCCTAGATACGTACATGTACATGCACTAAACCCTAAATAGTGAACTTGTACCACAAACGTGTTTTTGGTTGCCCTCCTGGTTCTATGGTTTCGTTTTGACTAATTTGGACCGACCCGTGTCGCACACCTGATTTTGGTGGGTGAGTCTCTCAATAGAGATTTTTTCATACACAAG